TCCACATCTCCACCCATGCTTTCTTCAAAGCCATGCTATTCCTATGTTCCGGATCAATCATTCACAACCTTCCCTTCTCTCTTCCCCTCTCTCCCCCCTCCTGCCCCTCTCACCTGCCCTTGTGTCCTGCAGATTGAATCTCACAAGCTGACGTTCCGTGAGAAGGCCAAGGCTCGGACAGACCACGGAGCAGAAATCGTCGTCTCCAAACCCCCCAACCTTTCCAGCAGCACTTCCCCCTGGCGTAGCACACCCGGCAGCCAGAGCCTGGCCTCAGTCGCCTCCTTGTCACCGCTGCAACAGCCAGCCCCCCTGGCAGCCCCTCCTCAGCAAGGCTTGTGACCCCCCAGCCCCTGCTCACCCCGCCCCCCGACGTGACGCAGCTTGGCCCTCTTAACCCGGCCTCTGGCTCCAGGTGGGGAAGGGGGCAGCGTTTAGCAGGGTCTCCTCAAGCAGCCCTGGGGACTCCCCCCTGCCCAAGCAGGCCGGGCTCTGCTGGTTCCTTTTTTGGGGCTCCCTTCCCTCTCCACTCCTCATCCCTTGTGCTTTTCAGGGGGTCCCTCGGTCAGTGTTAGTGTCGTGTGTCGGGGACGGGCACGACGGGACGTCCAGGCTGTGTCTGGCTGTCCTGAGCAGGGGGGAGATGCAGGTGGAGCCCAAGCTGCTGGTGGCTGCAGCCAGGCCAGAGTTAACAGGGATAAGCTGTGATCTTTCTTTCTTTCTTTCTTTCTTTTCTTTCTCTCTTTTTTTTTTTTTCTTTTTAAAGCCCCCTTTTCCCTCCTTGCTGCTTCAGTTTCTGCTGATCCCGTTTGATGATGATATATATTATACACACACATTAGGCTGTTTTAACTGTTGACTTTAACCTTTTATTCTTTGTGACGCTGTGTTGATGATTTATCGTGCTGCAAACCCAGGCTAAGTTTCCTTTTCTCTTTCCTCCTCTTCCTAACCCTAGGAGAGTAGAGACATTAACCGCTGCTGCAGTGCTGGCTTCTTACTGACATATCCAGCAATTGTAACTCTTTTTGTTGGTGGTTGGTTGGTTGTTGTTGGGTTTTTTTTTAATATTTTTAAACGATGGAGCAAATTCATGGGGTTAAGCCATGTCTGAAATGAAAGGCACAGGAATGTGTTGAAGGGAAACCTTGTTGTGAGAGATGAGGTGGAGCCTGTGTTGACCGCAGTGAGACGCGTTGAGTCTGATGCTGGTAAAAAGAAAATAAGCCCTCCTGTAGGGCCAAACCTCCAGCCCTGGAGGGTGCCCAGGACCTTCTGCACATCAGCAAAGGCAAAGATGGTTTATTTATTAACTTGCAGAGCCAAAGCCCTGGGATTCTTCTTCTTTCCAGCCAGGGCCTGAGGTCTGGAGGATGAGCAGGAGGCTGCTTGGCGGTGCAGGTGAACGCAGGTCCTGAGGTCTGTGGTTGTTGCGTGTGGTTGTTTTGCCAGAGGCTGAGGTGTGAGTGACCCGGGGGTGGGGGAGAGAGAGCCCGAGGTGGGGACAAAGGGACAGACCACCTCTCCCCCCCGGGCTGTGAGGCAGGGGTAGCAGAAGGTCTGTGGAGGGCTGGGAGGGAGGCAGAGCCCCGGGCTGGGGCAGGGGAGGCAGGTTTTCAGTGCCAGGGAGTTGCAGCTCTGACTAGGAAGGAGATTTTTTTTTTTTTTAATTTTTTTTTTTTTTTCTTTACCTTTGAGGTGTGAGCTCCTCGTTCCGTGTTGCAAATGACACTAAAAGAAATGAAATGTAAATAAATTTAAAAAAAAAAAAGTTAAAAAAAGCAAAGCGCGTCCTTGGGTCGTCAAACTAATTTAAAGTGAAAAGCAAAAGGAAAACAACAGCAACAAAAATTTAAAAAAAGCAGAATAACAAAACAGTGGGATCCAAGTGAACTGAACCAGGCGTGTGCTGAGGGGGGGCTGCTCAAGGAGGGACAGAGGGAAGCCTGCAGCTTCCCAGGCTTGTGGGAATCTTTCTTTGGGAAGCCGACAATGACACGATAACCCGGAATCTGTATTTACACACAAAGATTCTTATTGCACTTGTATTTTTTATATTAAAGTTTGCATGATTTCTAATAAAATGGCATTAAAATGTACTAGTTTGCATCAAAGTCGTCTGCTAGTTTCATAAGTGCTTTTCCTCTGGATACAAATTGAAACGAGCGATGCAGATTTGCACCTGAAAGGGGCGGTTATATATACCCCATCACTCCCAGTGCTTCCCTTCCCCTTCCACCTCCCTCCTCCCCACCTCTCCCCTCCAAACCACATCCCTCGAATCCCAAACCAGGGAATGCAGCCGAGCTGGTGCCTCCCTGCCCTTGTCTTGTGTGTCCTCGGTGTCCCCACCCAGCCCTAGAGTAGCTGGTACTAACCCCCGGGACCTTCCTGCTCTCCTGCCCCCTGGCAGGGCCTGGGCAGGGGCTGCAGCAGAAGCTGCTCCAGCTCTGGGCTGGGCTTGGAAACCTACTTTTTTTGAGCTTTGTGGTGATGCTTGGAAACCCCCCCGGCTGGTCCCACGGCCGCCCCCCCGCATGCCCCCCCCTTGGTATATATCACTGCCCCTTCGCTGACGCTTCCTTCTTGCTCTTACTGCTAAATTCTAAACACCAGCTTGATCTTCTCAGTCTTGAGGGTTGGTTGGTTGTTTCTTTGGGGTTTTTTTTGTTGTGGTTTTTTTTTTTTCCAACACTTGAATTTGAAGGGAAGTTTGGAGGAGAGAGACTGAGGTCAGGTGGGTCCCCTCGGGAGGGGAAGGCAGGGGCTGCGTTTCCCCAGCAAGAAGGTGAATCCGCCCAGAGGGGCTGGTGCCCACGGGGGGCCTGGAGCCCTGGTCCAGCCTCCCCGGGCGGGCAGAGGGACAGGGAGGTTTGTGCTGGTGGGAACAGTGAAGGCTGGTGGAGGTTGTGGGTAACCAAAGAGCAGGTGGGAGCTGAGCTGCCCTTCCTGCTGCTGCTGGGCCATGCAGAGGTGCCAGCGCAGGGAGGGAGGCAGCAGGGCCGGGTCTTGGCTCAGGTGCTGCAGGAGGAAGTGGCAACAAACATTGCACTTTATCTTCTGAGAATGCAAAAAAAAAAAAAGACAAGCAAGCAAAACTCTTCATACCCTGGAAGGGACGGAACTGCCACCTCCCCCTGCCTTGCTTTTGCCAGGGGCACTGACTGCTCTGCAGCCCTCGGGCACAAACCTCCCCAGCCCCTGCGCAGCTGCACCGCCCGCCTGGCCTGTGCTTCCGTGCCACTATCACTTGTTGTGCCTGTGTGTGTGTAGCTGACAAACAGTCCAGAGCCACTAGTTCGGTGTGGTTTGTCTAGGACAGCTTGAGTTTTGTTGTGGATTATTTTTTTTAATTTCGTTTTGTTTTAAGGAACCAGCTGTACATCCTGTTGGCCTGGGAAGGGATCGGTGTGTGATAATGATTTTAGTTGCCTGGCTGGAGAGATGGGAAAGAGCTGGTTAGTGCTGAGACCTTTAATGAACCCTGTGGAGAAGCTGCTGATTGGGCAGAGCAGGGGAAGGGGCTGTGTTTGCTGTTGGCTTGATCTAGGACTAGAGGTGGGAAATTCTTGGGGGGAAAGAAAAATAAATGAGTTGTGGTCTGAATTAGGTGCGACTTGAATGTACATGTTCCTGTCCTGAGATGCCTCGTATGGGGCTTGGCTTTCTCTGCAGCTGCTCCTGGGGAGATAGAGGGGAGGGCTGAGGTGGCCAGAGCAGCTCTCAGACCCTGCTGAGCTGGGAGAAGTTGGGTGCTGGTGGGCTCGGTCCCTGCTGGATGGGGCACAGGGCGTGGGCTGCACTCGAGGAGCCTGTTCCTGCCTTGGGCAAGGGGCTCAAAAACGTTTCCTCAGCCAGTGGTCGGGGTGAGCGTTGACTTGGGGGTGTCTGAGCTGCTGGGGAGGCTGAGCAGGCAGCACGGGAGGCAGGGCTGGATGGGGGCTCCTGTCCCCCAGGGGCTGGTACCCCCCCAGCTGCTCTGGCAAGAGGGGCTCCCCACAGCCCAGGCTGCTGGGCCGGAGCCTCTCCCTGTGGGTCAGTGGCACGTGCAGTGACTTTGGGGTTTTTTTATACTGTTCCAGTACATTCAAGTAACCAAGTTTGTGGGCTTGAGGCCACAGGAGGCTGGGGGCGGCGGGGGCTTCACTGGCCCCCCCCAGCAGGCCCCTGCCCTTGGGCCGGGGTCCTGAGTGCAAACTGAATGTAGTTTTCTACGCTGACCCTCTCGCTGTTGTCCCCGCGTCGTGTCGGTGTGTGACTGGGGCTCTGGGACCCTCGTGTGTTTGTGTCGTTTGGGCAGAATGTCTAGTTTTCCTTGGGTGTCGGTGATGTCCTCGGGGTGACAGGGGCTCCCGTGCCCTGTGGAAGGAGGGAACAGCCCAGCCCCTCCTGGGCTGGTCGGCGCTGTCCCTGCGAGTGGCCGGAGCTGTCAGGCTTGGGAGAAATGTCACCCAAAAGAGGAGAGAAGTCCCCCCAAAGCCCCCCCGGGGCGGGGGGGGGGGGGCAGCCTGTGGGGTGGAAAAGAACCCTCCGGGTGGCAGCAACGGGAAGCCTGCTCCATCTCTCCTCTCTCCCCCCGAGCTCGGGCTGGAGGCACCGTTTGCCTCTCCGTTCTCCCTCTCGCACGGGTCTCGCGGCCACCAGCGGGTTGGTGTCCAGAGCCAGAGCAGAGACGAGACTCCATCCTGCGCCCGTCGTGCTTGTCCCACCCCCGCTCAGCACTGCCTGCAGCTTCCTCACCCCTAACTTAGGTACCAGGAGTAACCACGTAGTGGGGACGTGACCGCGTGGAGGGGGAGGGGGGGGTGGGCTGAGAGGACCAGGAGGCTGGAGATGAGGGCTCAGGATGTGGGATCCAGGAGAACTGATCCCAGCTCCCTGTGGTCTCGGGGGGTCACTTAACCTCTCTTTCTGCCTCGGGTTCCCCAGCTGCAAGGTGGGAGGGATGATACTGGTACCTCACTGGGCTGTCGTGGGGCATGAGCAGCGTGTGAAGTGTTCGCTAAATGTGACTTATTATTACTATTTTGTGTCATAGGATGACTGAGCAGCAGCCCTGGCTCCCCGGGGGGTACAAGGCACTGCCTGGGGTGGGGGCACCGCTGTCCCTGTGCCCTGGTATGATCACGGGCAACGAGGGACAGGAGAGAAGGATGTTTTTTGCCAGATGGTGCCATGAAGTCAGGATATGGGACTGAGACTGGGAAACTCCTCCTCAATCCTTTTGCACAAGCATAACTTGAGCATCTTTACAGCAGTGAACCTGGGTCCCAAACTGCTGGGTTTGGATCAGATAAGATGGATAAACTCTGCCTTCTCCTGCTCAGGTAAGAGGCCAGATTTGTGCCTTGGCTTGTAAGGATTCCTCCAGGAACACAAAGCATGAAGAGCACAGTGCAATGAAAACCCAGTGACTACACAGCAGCCTGCTTGAACCCAAGGTCAGCAGGGAACCACGTAGTGGGGACGTGACCGCGTGGAGGGGGAGGGGGGGGTGGGCTGAGAGGACCAGGAGGCTGGAGATGAGGGCTCAGGATGTGGGATCCAGGAGAACTGATCCCAGCTCCCTGTGGTCTCGGGGGGTCACTTAACCTCTCTTTCTGCCTCGGGTTCCCCAGCTGCAAGGTGGGAGGGATGATACTGGTACCTCACTGGGCTGTCGTGGGGCATGAGCAGCGTGTGAAGTGTTTGCTAAATGTGACTTATTATTACTATTTTGTGTCATAGGATGACTGAGCAGCAGCCCTGGCTCCCGGGGGGGGACAAGGCACTGCCTGGGGTGGGGGCACCGCTGTCCCTGTGCCCTGGTGGGTGCTGAGGGGTGGGCTGGGGAGGGGGAGGTTAGTGCATGGGTGCAAGACCTGAGACAACAGCTCTGAGGGCTGGGGGGGCCGGGGCAGAGTCCCCTCCTGCCCCAGGGTAAATTCAGACCAGTTTTGTTTCTGCCTTTCTGTCTCGCCCTCCTGCGAGGGGCTCTAAGACTGTCGTCTCCTTAGCAACATTTCCCGAGTTGATGTTGTGATTCTGATTATTGTAAAGGGTTGAAATAAAGCTTCTAGATGTTCCTGCTCAGACTGGGCCTGTGTTTGTGGGGGGGGGTGGGAAGGCTGGGCTGGGGAGGGAGCGCACAGCCAGGAGGCAGTTGATGTCTTCAAGAAGGCAGGAAGAAAGGGGTGAGGCAGTTAGCTCTCCTCAACTCCCTGAAAGGAGGTGTAGGGAGGTGGGAGTTGGGCTCTTCTCTCAAGTGAATAACGACAGGACCAGAGGAAATGGCCTGAAGCTGCGCCAGGGTGGAGTTTAGACTGGGTATTAGAAATAATTGCTTTACCCAAAGAGGTGGTGGAGTCACCATCCCTGGGAGTGTTTAAACGAAATACAGACATGGTGCTGAGGGACATGGTGTAGGCACTGATGGTTGGACTTGATGACCTTCAAGGTCCCTTCCAACCAGGATGATTCTACAATGCTATGATTCTGATGTTGCGGCCTCTGATGCCTCCCAACCCCTGGAAAATTCCCCTTCCCTGGCTTTGCTCCTCTAGCCTGGGCTCAGAGAGGAGAGGGCTGCTGGGCTGCCACCCCCCCATGGCCACCACCAGCCCTTGGTGGCCGCAGAGTGGAGCAACACGGCTGGGCGCACACAAACACACACACACGCACACAAACACACACTTGGCACTGACCCACCCTCCCTGGCTCCTCAGCCAGCAGTGGCCAAGCAGGACAAGCCCAAGATCTGTTCCCAGCTCTGACTGAAGGGGGCCCTGAGTGCCACCAGCCCCTGACAGCAAGTGCCCCCCACCCCCCCATCTCTTCAGAAGAGCTTTTCTAGCTCAGCTGAGCACAGAGGATGGATCTGGCCCAAGATCCCAACCAGCCCTGGGGAGGGTTTAGACCTGTGGCCACTGGCCACCCAGGGAGGCTTCACCCAGGTCCCTCTGCCCAGAGCACCCAGCACCCATCACCCAGTTCCCATCCTGGCAGCCACAGTGGCTGGTTCCCCCTGGACACCAGCAGCACCAGGACATGCTCAGGTGCTCCTGGGGTGGCTCTGGGCCCTGGTGACTCTTGCTGGGTGGGGACACCCACACACCTCTCCTCTCTCTGCCACCACTGCTCTTCCCAGCCCCAGGAAACAGAGCAAGAAAATGACAAACTGCAGCCTTTCAGTTACTGAAATAAAACAGAAAAAAACCAAAAAGAATGAAGAGGACAGAGGCAGTTCCTACTCTATCCCTTTTTATTGTCTTTAATCTATGTTGTAAAAAGATCCAGTATCACATAACAGCCACTGAAGTATCCCAATATCACACTAGTTCTGAACCATTTAGACAATAGCTTTTAGTCTTTTTTTTTCCCTTTTTTTTTTCCTTTTTTTCTTTTTTTTTCTTTTTTTTTCTCTTTTTTTTTTTAAACCTGCTGGAAGGGAAAACCATCCTGCCCATTATGCAGGCCAAAAGAAACAAACACTGGTCAAATAATAGTGACAACTTCAAGCAAGTGAAATGAAGATGAGAAGTTCTGCGTGAACACAGGCTGCAGGACTCCCAGGGCCCCGTGCTGGTGCATCCGGGACCTCGGAGCATGGAAATGGCTCCAGCCCTGGCTCCTGCTCCCAGAGTTGCCCCCCAGCCCCCCACCCTTGTGCTTTTTGCCCCCAGCTACTGGCACCGCGGGGCTCCTGCACACCCACCTGCAGCGCGTCGGCTCAGATGGCAGCTCCGCTTAATTAAAGCCCATGAGGAGTAAATTAAATCTTAGTTGAGAACAACTGGGAGAACCAAAGGGTGTCCCCCCCCAAGGGAGGCTGAGCTGCCAGGGCAGGGAGCCCTTTGCCATCGTTCCCCTCTGCAGAACCAGCCTGGCAGCCACACTGGGCCGAGGGATTTTGCCACCTCCACCCCCCCTGGCAGGTGCTGCCAAACCTTGCCCTTGATTTCAAATACAAAGTGTAAGAAATGGTGAATAAAAACAACTGACCCCAGGCCCCGGTGCTCAGCTGCTGGGGGAGCAGCAGCCAAGCCCCCTTTCCAGCACCACCCCAGGGCTCCGGGCTCCAGGCTCCAGCCTGGTGCACAGTCCGTGTTCCTGCCCGCACTGTCCGGCCCCAGGGCTCCTTCCTGTGCCCTCCGAACGCTAACGAAGCCTCACAACAGCCCTGTGAGGTAGTCACTGTCTTCGTTTGACAGGGAATCCAAGGCAAAGCTGGGATTAAACTCCAGGTTTCTCGTGTAATGCTGAGCTAGTCACAATCCTTCCACAGAAATATGGTCCCTGGTTGTAGGAAACAAAGGATTTTGTGCCTCAGCTCCTGGCTTCCCGCAGGAGAAGGCGCTCACAGGCAGACTGGCAGCTACACTCAGGTCCTGTGTTGCACAAGTGACAGGGATCCGGCCTCCTTGACGTAGGGAGAAGAAATAAAATAACAAAAGTAGTAACAACGCAAGAGGACACAAAGTACAGGCAGCTCAGGAGGGACCAGTCACATCTCACACTGCGCTGTGGGGTGGCAGGGCCCTGCAGAGGCTCGCAGATCCTGCCTGGAATGTCGGGTCCACCCGGCAGCCCTCCTCAGGAAAAGAGAAGACGAGGAGACGATCCCCTCCCTGAGCGGAGCTGCTGCATCCCTGCCCTGCCCGGGAGCAGGCGCAGCCGCCACGTCCGTCGTCCTCGGGAGCAGCTCTGGCCCAGAGCTCAGCCTGGCCCGTGGGGATGGGGCCCAGAGCAGCTGCCTCCTTGTACCCAGCTCAGAGCCCCAGGCTGCGAGGAGCTGAGGAGGTGGGTGTCCAGGGAGCTCCCGTCAGGGTCCATAGCACTCCCAGTCCATTCCAGGCGACGCTGGTTCTTCCTACGCGGTGACCATGCACGGAGCCGACAGCAGGAGATTCAGACAACATTAATCTTCTAGGATGGAGAGAGATGACTTCACAAGGGATAAATAGAACTTTTATTTAAATAAACATTTGTGAACATCTTTATACAAATTACAAGTCCCCACACAATCCTCCAGCTCTGCCTAAGCGCCAAAGCTGCCGGGAGGGCCTTTGAGCAGATCCACCAGGATGTCGAGCAACTGGCTGTGCTGGTGGTGCAGGTCCCCAGGGATGGCTGCCATCTCGTAGCACAGACACGTCTCCACCATCTTGGAGAGCGACACACGGAAATCACGCAGGAGGCGGATGGTGTAGGAGTCTCCCTCCAGCACCAGGAGGTCACTGTCTGTCAGGGAGACTGTTGCTCGCCAGCCGTCATCTTAGTGAGGAGAAGAGAGGAGGTGAGGAGCAGGAAGGGTGCTGACCTGTGCCAGCCCTGCTGGCCTCTGCACCACCACGGCCAGGGGCAGTGCAGGTCCTCCCCATGCTCATTTTAGCCCTGAATCTCAACCAGGTCAAACAGTTCCCACCAAAGCCAGGCAGCTCTCCAACCCATCTCGCTGGGATCCTCCCATTGTTTCCCACAGGAAAGGGGCCAATTGCACAGCCTGTCTGAGCTCGAGGGCTGGAGACCAACTGCAGTGCTGCCAAAAACCCAGGGGCTGCATCAGCACATCTACAGGGAGGAAGGCTTGCTCCTCCCAACACATCAGCCATGGCTGAAGACCAGCCCAGCTCCTCATCCTCAGGGATGAGCCTCCAGGCACCACCCTGCTTGCTCAGCCTGCCTCTGGCTCCATTTCCCTGTCTCCTTGGAGAGCTACAGCTCACAGATTATCACCTTTGCAGCCCAAATACAGCAACACCCAGTCCAGAGCAAGAGGCTTAGAAAACTGAAGACAGTTGGCCAAGGAAACAAGCAGGGCTGCTCAGAGAGATGAGGAGCAACGACGCAGCAGCCCCTCAGATGGTGGGAGCAGGGTGCCTGGGGTGCCAGGGGGGTGTGCAGCTGTGCCAGCCCTGCAGCACTCACCTCGGACGTGGATGTCTGTGTCAGTCATGAGCAGCACAGCCAGCGGGTGGACCTGGGAGGAGTCCCTCACAAACACCCCCCCGTTGGACTTCACCGCCATGAAGTAGGTCAGCCAGCGGCTGTACAGCTTGGAGGCCTCTCTGCACGGGGAGAGCTGAGTCAGCCACGGGCAGACCTGCTGGTCTCTGGGCCTGGCACATGCTGGAGCAGTGCCAGGGTCCTCAGCACAGCCAGCTGGTGTGGGAGTGTGCATGGTCCTCCTCCCACCATGGTGTCAAGACACAGAGCACCCACCTGTTGATGGTTGACTTGTGGAGCAGGACGGTGCCAGCCTTTGTCCGATATGCGTAGCTGTTGGGCTTGAACTTCCCCTGACGGGTCACTTTGCCTTGTCTCACCTGAAAGGAGAACATCATCTCCACCACCTGCCCAACCAGCAGGCCCTAACCACAAGCAGCCATACCAGCTTTCCCCACAATTCTCTCCTCCGTGTGTGTAGAGAACATGTTCCTCCACTTTCACAAGCTCTGCTGTGTTAGGTCACATGGGGGTGACCAGAGCTGGCAGCCACCAAATGCCACACAAGGAGCAGCAAACAGGAGGAGGAGGAAGACACCACCTCGATGGCTCCCAGATCAAGCCACAAGAACCCAAGCATGGAGCTGCACAGGCTGGGAGGGACACTCCTCACAAGGAGGGATCCTGGGACAGCACTGGAGGAACACGTGGGAGCACAAGCAGACAGCCTGCCTGGGACACACACAAGCATTTCTGGCACCTCAACACCTCCCTGTGCTGGCCAGAGTATCCAGCAAGCCTGGGAAAGTGGTGGCAGAGCAAGGAGTCAGTACCTGGATGAGGTTGGGGTAGAGCCCAGCCATGAGGACTCCCTTGACCAGTTCTTCCTCTTCACTGTACTGGTTACATACAGACGAGGGCATGGTACAGTCAGATGGGGATGACACCAAGAAGGCTTCATAGAGGTTCTCAGAGAACTGCTTGACAAGGCCTGCAGGGAGAAAACAATGCTGGGGAATGAGATTCACCCTCTCCTTCACCCCACTGAAGAAATAACCACAGCAGGGCAGCACCAGCTCTGGCCTTGGAAGGCTCAGCCTCAGTGCTAGGAGACCTGTCCTACCTGTGGCCTCCCTGGCACCCAGGGCTGCACCTGCACCCTGGAGAGAACCTGCCCAGTGCTCCAGCCTGTTCAGGGGGCAGACTCACCATTGATGAAGCGGAGGCTGGGGCCATACAGGTAGTAGTCCTGCAGGTAGTTATCCCTGGCACGGCTGTCCCTGCGCCTCAGCACCTCCTCCCAGCCCGCCACGGCCCGCACGAACGCCAGGTGGTCGCTGCCGCTCTCCCGGCTCAGCACAGCCTTGGCCTGGGAGACAGACACGTCAGCCAGGGATCAGCCCCATCCCCACCTGCTTTCTCCCTTCCTCTAGGAAAGGCTCCTCACCTTGTCCACCTCGGCACGGTTTTGCAGGCTGCTGCTGAAGGGGTCCCGGGTGAGGCAGGAAAAGATGACGAGCAGAGGGCGGGGGGAAAG